AATAGACCCCTTAGTCTGCTAAAGAAAGTTGAAAAATAACAGACTTACTAGCAAGATTAATAGGTAATTAAACTATGTTACAGGATGACTCAGAAAAATAAAGACTGCTGTGTTAATGCTATTGACAGACTGCATCATATATGTCATATTTGATTTTGCCCATAGTTCCACTTTAATGTATCAGTCACCTTATAGTTGATATTGTGATTATGAATGGAAGCTGGTAAGCTAATTAAATCCAGTCTATTTGTGGGTTCTAAGTGCAAAATTCCAACCAAGTATCATATTAGGCAACTCCTTCCACAGTCTCAGTTCTTTTCTTGCAATTTTGGTAATTTTATGTAACAGTAGTTAAAAATACTAGCTGAGATAGTAAGATTCACCTGTAATGTCTACATCAAGAGGACAGACTTGTAAATTCTGACATATGACACAAACCTGATATGTAATTCAATAACTTTTGTAATTACATGGTTTATGCACCAGCAGTGATATACCTTAAATACACATAATACTGGTAGAATATATTATTAATGATCTATTTACCGCATGTATATAACGCCAGTATGTTACACAGTGCTTTAAAGAGTACAAAGACTATGAACCTTTATAGTTGTAAACTCTAAAGAGGTTTTTATTACAATATCCATGCTGTAGTCATCAAGAGCACACATACACACAATAAGGGTACGTTAAATAGTAATCAAGTGATCTATATGTTTTTGAATTGTGGCTGTGTGGGGACAAAAGCACCTGAAGAAAATGAATACAAATATGAGGAAATCATAGAATCTCCATTTATATAGTGTCCCTGGTGGTTATCAAGCAAGAGCCTACAGATAAATGGCAAAAAGTGCTAATCAATTATTGAGTATGGTTTGTGGCTAATGCTTTAAAGAAAATAATAAATATATTTCTAAAATTATATTATAAGGAAAAAAGTTGAAGTGTGTGACCAGTCAATTTTTTAGTTTTGTATAGATTGAAGAAAGATCAGTACTGTCAGTTATTTACTGCTCTTTTACAAACATTTCTGCTCATTTTTGTCCCAGTAATGAAGGTTTTGCAAGACAGGAAGTAAGGATTAGAATCTAACAGGCACAGATTTTTAATTGCTGTCTGTGTGGTTATTTTAGAATTCCCCTCACTTTCTGTCTGGTGAAACCATGTAACTTAAAGAGTATGAGAAGGTAAATCTCTCTAACAGAGCCCTGGATAGCCGTTACCATTAAGTTCTAAGCCTCGCCCATCTTATCTGCAACTAAAAAAAAAATTGGCTTTACTTTAAAGAAGTATTCCACTCAACAGAAATGACTGGAGATATGTAAAGGCAGTCCTATTTTGGCTTTTCTGATTATTTTTGTTGTAACACATCCTTATTGAAGAATGCAACTGATACAAAAACCACATTTAGCCTTTCCACACATTGTTTTTATTTACTAAAGGAGTTGAGAATCTTCGCGCAATAAATTACGTGGATATTTACTTCAATTTATCAGTTTAGATTATTAACTGTTTATTAAATCAGCCTATTGTGTACATACAATTAGGTAACCATGCAAAGGAATTTTAAAAAGTATAGAGTATTAGTTACACAAAAACCAAGTGAACAGTAGGTAACAGGTACCTACTGGTTATAATCCAAATTCCAAATAGTTCTGTTGTTAAATTTAGCCACAAATGTCAAACAAATGGACAGAGGGGGGAAACAAGAAAAAGTTATACAAATGTCCACATTATAAGACTTTTTACTACCCCTTTTTACCCTAGGCGCAAGCATGTGAGTGCCAATATAGAAAATACAGCTTTGCACTGAGCCTGAATCAATTCACACTGGGCTTTTCATACCAGTGGAGACAAAAAAGCTACATAAATAAACTAACCTTACCATGTCCCAAACTTCTACTTTGAGAAAATGTTAAATCACAGAATTCACAACAAGCTTCATAATCCTAGACAATGAAAATGTACTCTGATATTAAATTTATTTTTTATTTGTATTATTGGCTCATTTATTTCCTATTTAATTAGGCTACGTTGTCTCTGTGTCCAAAAAATTATTTTGTGATTAACAATAGTTTTTTTACTGTATTTTTTGTAAATAAGGGTTTCTGATAGATTGTTGTAACTGTAATTAAAATATGTATCATAGTTACGTGAATGTAGGCTGTGAATATTGGCTCTTAAAGAGCAGGAGTGCTGTAAAATATGTTTTACTAAACTAATCGGCTCATTAGGCTTGTTTTGTAAAATCCAATGGTTATGAATGCACAGAACAATTTACTAATCTATAAAAAGACATCAATGACAAATTATTCAGTAAAGATAAATGCTAGGTAATAATTGAAAAATAAATATATAATGCACAATAGATGCTTTAAAAATAGACAGATCAATGCATTGTTCCATTACATTAAATGTATATGTGTTATTGATTAGCAGAGTACTAATGTGAAATCATGTTTGAGGAATGAAATGATAGTAAAGCAATGCAAAGAGCATTTGGGGATGTGCAAAGTACCATAACCCTATGGAACTAGCTTTCAGTTAATGTAGTAAAGTCAGGGAAAGATTAAAGCTTTGTTGTTTCCATGGGTTATAGCACTTGACACATTATAATTTTTACTATCTTACCAAATGTATCAGAACGTATCAGCACATTAAACACATAAGTAGGCAGTGCAAAATTTGAGCTAATATTCAGAGTACAATTTGCACTGACCCACTCACAGAACCCACTTAGACACCTGCTTTTAACATCCAAAAAACACACAAATCATACAACCATGGTGTGTGGACTAAGGTGACCATGTTATCCATGTGGTTAGAAATACTGGGGTATGTTCCTGAGACTCATTAGTGCTGATGAAGATACTTGGATTAGTGGTGAAACAGCTTCAATATTATGGATCAAATTGTATTTAATGTAACTAGCTACTACTGTTAACATACTTGCTATATTGTTATATTGTTGTATTGTTATACTATGTACTATTATACTACATAATATTGTACTATTATATTGTTATATTGTTGTATTGTTATACTATGTACTATTATACTACATAATATTGTACTATTATATTGTTATATTGTTAGCAGTGATAGACCACAGTGGTTGCTTTTTTTTAGATTTAGAATGAAATGAATAATACCAATAAGACTTTGTTTTTAGTGTTTATGGGATTTAACATAACGAGGCACAGCAGATTTAGCCTTCATGATTGAATATGGATGAAAATACAGATAGTTCAACCATGTCAATGTTTACTGTAAAATGTAGTGTAACTATCACCAGTTTGTGAGTTGTGTGGAGTAAAAGTTAAATGTACAGTTCTTTCTAAATTGTTCACAAAATACATGTGTTTTTGTGTGCTAATGCACATGAATCTATTCAGTTGAAGCCTAAAAATGTACTACCACCCTATCTACCAGGCCAATGATGACTATGGGGTCTATTCACTAAACTACTGTAGGCAGCCGAGTGACCAACTGACCCGAACCACCTTCTGGAAAGCGTCCGCCCATTTTTTGACAATTGGCTAACTGCAAGTGGTTAAGAACAAAGTCAGACTGTGACTGCAATGCAACCCACAACAGCCAAAAAAACCCCATCTGATTGGCCAGAGAACAGTCACATGTTTGATTTAGTTTATTGTGAATGAAATTTGGATAGATTCAACACAATTCATATGAATATCCATTTAGGATTAAACACATTTTAAATGTCTATTAGTTTAGTTTTTGATAGAGTTGGGAGTGATTAAACCCTTGTTGGGATAGTACTATCTGTGGCTCAGTTTAAAAGTTTTCCCCTCAGTTATTGTCCCAGTGACAATAGTCTCACCAAACAGGAAGTGAGAGAAAATATCCAACAACAACACAGACAGAAATGAACATGATTGTTTTTAGTTGCATAGTGGAATATTAAATGCCTTTCAGCATTTTGTTATTGTCTGTCTCCCTGTTGCACATGTTCCTTCACATCCTGTCTGGTGAAACCATTGATAGCATTACAGAAAGTATAGGGAGGTCTCTACAAGAGATCGAAGGATAGCATACGCTATGAACATACGCTTTAGTTAACCTTTGTAAGCATTCCAGATTGACCACTGAAAAAGCCAACAGTGTTGAAACAAGATTACATTTATCCTAGAAAATTAGGTACATAAAAACTGATATGTACAGTTGAAAAAAAACAGTCATTCGGATATCAAATCCTACGATGGTACTATGCAAATAACTTACTATACAACATAACTTAAAAAATGTGTTAATCTGCATTCTTCTAAAGAAATGTTTGCAACCAAATATTTAAATATTTTAAAGACATTGGGTTGATTGACTAAAGGAGTAAAGAGTATTTGCTTACAAACGGTAATGTTCACATAAAAAAAAAAATATTCCTTTAGCTTAACAAATAGGTTGATGCTGTGTTCGCTTTGAACACACAATCATGTGGAAGAGAATTGCAAGAACACATTTTCCCCTTATTCCCTAAGATAGATAAACAATCCCTCTGCATATCAACCCCCCTAATTATTAAATTAATCTTGCTCCTTTTTCTCTTCTGCAGATAGCACATAAATGCATAAGACAAAAAAGCAAACAAACAAGCAAATAAATAAATAAAATGCATAAAATGCAAAACCACCTACTGTAATGTACCTAAAGATAATACCATCATAATTTGCAAAAACATAAGTTAATAAATGACACTAAACTATGTTCAAAACAAAAAATACATTTTAGTTTATCTCACTGAACAAAATTACATATTAGGGTTTTTTTTTCTCTGGCTAGATACTCATGCAAAGTGTGAGATAAGTAATAAACACAAAAGCATTACTGTTGAAAGTTTTTTAAAAAAAAGACAATCTTTTCTATACATGACTTCTAAATGAAAATGTTTACAAACTCAGTCATTGCCTAACATAGATATAAAAATGTTGAAAAAAATCTACTGCGTAAATACATTAAATGTATTTTAGTATTCCTACCTTCCTGGACAACCACAAAAGGATTGCTACCATCCACAAATTTTTCTGTAAATGTAATTTTTTCAGTTTGCAAGATATCTTCATTTAGATTGAGGTCATCGACTGCCATGCGGAATACTTCATAATCTTTTCTGGCAGAATCATCAAAAATTGCCCCTGTTTAGTAAACAAAACAAAGTCAGTGGAACACATGGGTAAGAAGCACGCTCCAACAGTTTGTAGCAGTTGAAAGTCACTGTCAAAACAAGGCCTTGTTGTTGCAAGTAAAGAAAGACCATGATTCATCAGTTTTTTTGTCCACAAATGTAAACATGTCATGGAGTTTGTTCTCATATGTATGATACATAGTTGTGGCTTTTAGCTGTTATGACAACTGATGCTATAAAAAGTGTCAGGTATAATAGGTCTTTTTGTACTGTATTTGGCAAGAAAAGCTTTTTAGTCGCTGTACCATAATAAATGTCTCTGACTATGCATAATCCACATATTATGAAGCAGATCTAATGTGACACTGCAGCTGAGTGTAGCAGGCCATAACACTAACAGCTAGAATATACATAGTTATATCAATGAGGATACTGTAATGCTTTAATTTTTAAACATTGTATACAGTACATATTACCATATCCAAATGTAGAGCAATCAGTTTCAATCATTTGAAAATGCTGAATCATGTGAGAAGTGTCAGCCATTTGCTATTAACATTTTTTTTACTATATCATTGCCAAAACTTTTTCACTGTGTTATGATTTGTTGTAAAATATATGCTGTATTTTGTGCAATTTCCTTTATAATCCACCTGAATGGAGACTTATGAAAAAAAAAAAAGGCAACACTTATCAGGTACTTTAAGGGCCTGTTTACACTATAGCATAATGCTAAGCATACATTACCAGATGTTTAGCACATCACTTACAAAGTACAGTGTGCTAGGGGCAGTACATTGGCATTTGAATGGCACCCCAAATCACCTCCCGGCAGCCACAGCATTGTCTTAAATTACTCTGTGAACCCTGGGGGGGGGG